ATCATAAGCACAAAACTCTGTGATTAACAAATAGATACAACATAGTTTGAAAAAAAAAATTTGAAAAACTACACGGTACTTGTTATGTTAGATCACCAATCATTTGAAAAAAAAAATCAATAAGCACGATAAACTAATAGGAATAAGCATGTTTATCAACGTCTAAGTGATCAACCAATCATCAACTTTCATGTCCTTTAGTTTTCAAAACTTTGTCTCTAAATTTAATCTCCCTAGCATTACCTATTAATTAAAATTAATTCTTTCCTTTGTTTTCATTGAGTTTCACGTTCAAGCACATGGTTGTCTCAATATCTGTTAGAACTAATGAATGAATATCAGAGTAATTAAAGGATTATATTGGCTAGAAAAGGAGATATGAATGGACGTGGACGGCTCCAATCAATTTTCATTTCACAAGTAGGAGTTTGAGTTTCGTGCATTAATTTGTTGGCCAAATTTGTTCGTGATCTTTGTAGTGAGATCCTAATTTTAAACTAATTGTTAATCATAACCTTGTGGTCGAGTTTGTTATCTATCTTAATCGTAATAAAAATTTCTACTAAAACTCCATCCACATAATGTAGAGATAAAATGACAGTCCACTATTTTTTATAGAAACAAAGAGAATTTTAATTAACAAAAAGAGAAAAAAAATATTAAAAAAAATAGAAACACACCACGGACCACTTCCTTTATTCATCTGATCTAACCCCGCTAACATCCCACTCTTCAACAATAAATGGATCAAATTGCTCTCTCTTGGCATTGTCTTCCACCTCCGTCTCAGTCAATGACTTAGAGGCATCACATACTCCCTCCACCGCCACAGGTTACAGTAATTGTTGGGGCAAGTAGGTTGATCTTGAAGAAAACCATCCATGACCCTATTATATATATAAACCCTACAACATATATTAGTTAACACAATTAACATGTGATGGAGGTAGAAGAAAAACTTAAGATATTGATTTGGAGCAAGAAGAAGGAGAAACAATATTTAATTTTTTATATAATCACAAAATTAAGTAAAAGATAATTCTATAAAGGAGTAATTAGGTTTTCATCCTTATTTTTACTACTCTATTGATTAAAACCTTATTACTTTTCAATTTTTGATCAAGGTCCTTTGTATTAATAATATCATTAATTATTTCAATAATAAAATATTTTTTATTTCTAAATAGATTCATTTAATATTAAAAATGTTACAATTAGTATATTTATATTTATGGCTAAATTTTTTATCATATATTTTTATTTTTAGTTTGTACCCATTTTTAATTTGCAACCCTTTTTTAATTTGTACCAATTTTCCTTTCAATTTTAATTTGTACCCATATATTAATTTCTTTTTGTGCCCATATTTTTTACAGTTTTATTTGTATTGTACCCATATTTTTTTATTTATTTGTACCCATTTTTATTTTTGCTAAATGTACCCATTTTGAAGAATGTACCCATGTTTTGATACAATCATTTTTTGGTTATTTTTTTATGAATGTACCCATGTTTACACACACACACACACAATAGTATATTTATATTTTAATATTTTTAATCCCACAAATTATGTTTTTTATTTAAAATCTCATTACTATAAACAACTATAAATTTTATTTTTTAATTTAAAAAATATAGTAACGTACATAGAAATAAATTATCAATTAATTTTAGGGACTTGGATCAAAAATTGAAAACCAACAAAGTTTCAGTCAAAGATTGTTCATAACTAGGGACCGCATCCAAAGTTTCTCTTCTATAAATAAGAGAGAACATTTATCACAGTTTAATAGAAAGATAAAAAGATGCTTAGTACTACGGTCTAGTGGTATTCCTCTTCATTGATAAGTGAGAGGTCTTGGGTTCGATTCTCGCCAAAGATGAATTTTAACCATATTATTACTAGCTCATTATGAGGCTTAACCCACTCTCTACCCCTTAGCGTAGATAATATCGTTTGTTAAAAAAATAAATAGATAAAAAAAAATTAAGTTGTTGTGGATAATTAGTGAACGGAACTAACCCATTAATGTGAACTAAACCCAAAAATTACTTACAAAATTGGACTTATATCAAGTTTAGTCTTTTTTTATATGGTGCGCTATTTTATCTTAAACTAATTTAAATTGTTGGGAAAAATTCAAATTCGATTTTACATGTGATAACTTATTCACTCTAGTCAATGTGATCATATTCACGTGCAATATGAGATGAGATTATAACTTAGAGCATCTACAATGCAACGAATCATGTTTTAAACCTATATTCTTATATTTCAATTCGAGAAATGTGATGGGTTTAAATTTTTTAAATTTCACCTCCAATGCAATGACTATATTCTTAGTTATATATATATATATATATATATATATATATATATATATATATATATATATATATATATTGGATTTTAAGGTTTGAGTTTTTTTGGAGTAGAAAACATTATAGTCAAAATTTTGAGTTTTGACAATTTGGGTATGTGCACTAGAAGAGGATTGGACTCAAAACTCAAATCTTATTTTTCTTGGTTGAATAACATTTCTCTTAATTTGTTGGCACGAGATTCATCTTGAATTCAAATATCATATTAAAACCGATATTTGAGTTTCACTTTAGCCAATGGTTACTTATATATGGTTTTAAGCCTCCATTGTGTAGGAGAGTTTGGACTCATATTTGAACTTAAATATAGAATTTGATTCCAAACTCTTTGCATTGGCGGATCCAAAGGGGGTCCTCTTGGGTCCTGAGGCTCTAGGGAAGTCGGGAAACATAGGGAGAAAGTCGTCGCATGTCCCATGGTCATTTAGTATGGGACTTGAAAATTCCTACAAACTGTTCGATGAAATGCCTCTTAGGAATAATTCAGCACGTCTTTGGCAAGTGATGTTCAATATGCCTTGGGACAAGCCTTGGCAGGTTATGGCCGACATTAGGCCTTCAAAGCTGTTGATAGAACTAGGAAAATAATGAAATTGCCACTAAGTGCTTGACTAAACGTGTCAATGAAAAACTGAAATTTTTTTGCCCATAGATGCGCGTGTTTAGATCTTTTATACTAGAACCCCACAAGGTTAAACTCCTGAATCCAACACTATTGGAGATGCTTCTTGGGTTCAAATAAAACCACCATTAAAAAAAAAAAAAGGATAAGAGAGTTTGCTTCTCCATCGTAGCTCCCAAACGTCCAATCTCGACATCATAATAACCAACATTTTTTCGCATTTCGCTTCTCGACCATTATAATACATTAATAGTCTACCGTTGCCGTCCTCATTTAGTTATAAGCCAACTTCCAACTTCATAAATTCACATGCTAGAGCCACACCATACAATTTACATGCAGATGCCTTGTAAGCTCCAAAGTAGAACTTAATAATTAAGAGAGACATGCAATATTGATATATATGAATGCTCAACCGTGTCAATTGTATATCAAGAGGATCCTCTCCAAACAACTTCAATATCAAACAATTAGGAGTCATCGTGGTGGTTAAGCATCCGTAGGACCTCCGAGCTCACTCTTTAATTGACGGCTATCAACAGGTAAAATAGCATTAGTTTAAGCACATGTATGCATCATGTTTTACTTGAGAATTGTATTTAATATTATCTAATGTTTGGCATGGTGGGTGGCAGCTGGTAGGGCACCCGTTGGATGGGGTGAACTATCTTGGGGGAATGACTTATATAGAATGGGTATATTGTTACAGTATATTTTGTAACAATAAAATAAAAATATATGTAAGTTTTTGTTCATATACACTTGTTTGATTGGCACATGGTGCCATGTGAACATGTATCCGTGCCATGTAAGTTATTATTCTATAAGAAGCTTGGTTCCTTTCAATTCTTTTGAGCGGGGAGTGTATAGTTTGCACATGTGATGTATTTTTATTCCTCGTATATATTTACATATTATGAATTATGTCTTACTAACTTGACTTCAATCCCTTAAATTGTGGAAGTCCTTCCCAAATTGAGTTTGCATGTGAGATGGATTTGTAAGGCCCTACTTGGTAAGTGTCACTTGTAAATCTCCTTTATACACCTTTATAACGATCACGTGGTGCATTTCCAATCCTTCGTATCTAAAATTTATTTGTAGAGTATTTTTTTCTCACTGAACATAAATTTCTTTAAATCTTGAAAATCACTCACCAAAACATAGCCTAAAGTCTGCTTTCTCTCAGTTTCTCAGTTATATATAATATCGTCTCTTTTAAAATAATAAAAATGACATTATGCATGAATTGATGCATGAGACATAACAGTTGTGGAAATACTCATTAATATTGTTCTCTAATGTAGAAAGTATAAAGGGGAGAAAATGAAAATTCTTATCTTATTAGTTATAGGATAATGCTTGTGTTTACTTGTCCCATAATTACGATTAACGTATCTTTACTATACAAGTATTATAATCGCAATCGTTCATTCTTTTTAGCATCGCCAAAAGATTATACTTGCAAAAAAAAAATATTCACTTTGAAGATGGTTCAGCCATTTATATGTATCAAATAAATAGACGGTTCATGAAAAAGTTACTTGTTATCTAAAGCGTTGATTGGTTTGACAATATAGATGGCTAAACCAACCAACTAAAATATTTATTGCATGTTGAAAAAGTTAGAACAGCTACATATGCATGTCTCGAAGGAGCGATCTCTCTCCTGTTTTTGTTGTTAATAAATGAATGGAGATGGATTGTCTGCCCTCCCCTCTCCATACCTTCCTCATACTCTCCTGTTTTGTGCGTTCACGGTTAAGTCACGTCAACATTTGCTTTTTGTCTTATTATTTGTCTTATTATTTTTATAAAAAAATTAATATAAAATGTTTACGTGGTTTAATCGTGACCGTACAAACCAGGAGGGCATGAGGAGGGTATGGGAAGGGGATGGCAGACAATCCATCTCCTAAATGAATGCCATCGACTGACAGCCCCGCTTCTGAAAAATCTATGAATTGATCCATACGTATATAAATGCACAAGAAACAATCGGAAACTAAAGACCCGCAAGTTTATGCTCATATCTTTTCGACCATTTTTTTGTGTGCTTGGGGATATCATATTCCAGAATGCACTCAGATGCAGGAGGACTAGGAATGTTGAGTCCTAAACTGGTCAGGCTGCAGATGCAGTCGTCATATGTAATTTTCGTTATTTGCTTCTGCAATATTATTAGTATGAATAACGTCACTGAGGCAGCCACGACAGTCAAGCTGCCGGAGAATGTGACCGTCCCGGCTATTATTATATTCGGAGATTCGATTGTTGATACCGGCAACAACAACGAGAACTTCAAGACATTTGCACGCAGCAATTTCCTTCCCTACGGAAAAGACCTCAAGGGAGGAATGCCAACCGGCAGATATTCCAACGGAAAGGTTCCCTCAGACTTCATAGGTTGTTATCACCATCATCATCATTAAATACTCGTAAAACATTACTAATTGATATTATCATTATAAATAGTTTAGGAATCAACTTTGCAACCCTAGCCCCTTTGGCTTTGGTTTTTGTAGAACTTCGGGTTGGTTTGGTATTGCTTGCTGTGCTTTGAAATAAAAACTGTTTCTACTGTGATGTGAGAATAAACTCAGTTTTGCTACTTCACGTTTTTAGCTTTTTTCCACAAAAAAACTATGAAAATAAGTTGTTTTTAAGTGTTTACCAAACACCTTTTTGAGCTTAACTTTTTTTTATACTCACTTTTTATAAAATCACCTCAATACCAAACCAGTACTTTGTATACCGATTAAAAACTGTGCGTTAACTCCTAATTTTCTGTGAAATATCCTAGAATATTATAGGTTTCATCTCAATTTTATCCCAGAAATTCAAACACATATTCTCATACAATAAAATGTTCAATTAACCCTTCTTTATTATGATTTTTTTTTCATGTCCAGCGGAATCATTTGGAATCAAGGAGCTGTTGCCAGCATACTTGGATCCGACCCTGCAGCCTAATGACATCCTTACCGGTGTTGTCCTAGCAGCCGGTGGCGCAGGTTATGACCCTTTGACAGCAAAACTTGCGGTACAACTTATATATTTGAGCTCTAATCCTTCATTCTTTTGATAATTTTTTTTTCCTCCATTAATTCTGGAATTCGATTGTGTAGGCAGTTGCATCGCTATCCGACCAATTGAAGCAGTTCAAGGAGTACATAGAAAAGCTGAAAGGAATTGTTGGAGAGGAGAAAACAAACTTCATCATAAAAAACAGTGTGATTTTTGTGGTAGCCGGCAGCAACGATATTTCTAATACCTATTTTCTTAGCGGTGTTAGGAAATTGGAGTATGACGTTCCTTCTTACACTGATTTCATGGTCAAATATGCCTCTGATTTCATTAAGGTGCGTATTTTCTTGATACAGATTGCTAAAAATGAAAAAAGTACATATTTTCGCAATTTAGTTGATGTAGCAAAGTTATGAATTTTGTAGGACTTATATGGCTTGGGGGTACGAAGAATAGCCGTACTAAGCATACCACCTATCGGATGCGTGCCATCTCAACGAACGGTAAAAGGAGGCATAGGAAGAGATTGTGACGAAGCACAAAACCAAGCATCCCAGCTGTTCAACTCCAAGCTCTCTGCGGAGATGGATCGTCTTAACAAAAACCTGCCAAACTCGAGAGTTGTCTACATTGACATGTACAATGTGATACTTGATCTCATCACAAACCCTGCTAAACACGGTATGAAATTTCATTTAATCTGCCTAGCTAGGTCCACTACATTTCTTACAAATTAGTAAAGATTTATATGTTTGTTGTGATCCATGCCGGCAGGGTTTGAAGTTGTGAATAAAGGTTGTTGTGGTACTGGCCTTATTGAAGTAACAAAACTGTGCAACCAGCTCCAACCTGCCGGGGTCTGCACAGATGACTCTAAGTATTTTTTTTGGGACAGCTACCATCCTACCGAAAGAGCTTACAAGATCGTCGTGAATCAGATGCTCGACAAATATGCCAGCCGCCTGTTCTGAGACAACTCATTATCCCTATAAATTAATAAAACCCTTCAAATTCCCTGCTTCGAGTAACGATTTGAGAAATTTATTCCTTCTAGACTTATTTGATCAAAGAGTTGCGTGTTTCTCATAGTTTTCTCTTATTTATTTATATTTTTTATGTCAAAGTGTTTCTTTATGATTTAGGTCAACATGGTTTTGTTGTATGCGGCAACTTAAGAAATCAAACACATTAACAAGAGAAACGAGAAGTTGTACATGTTGGCTATCCCACATTCATAGGGGAAGTCAACATATGACTTTAAATAGGATTATCCTACTCTAACTAATATCGAGGTCTTTTGTGGTAAAATCTCACACATGACAGATTAGGTATGTAGTAATTATCAAGTTGAGACAATATCTGTGTCGTTGGAGTGGGCCTCCTTGGCCCGTTGATCTAAAAATTCTAACACGGTATTAGAGTCTACGGTTACGGACCCATATAAGCCAAAGGCTTGTCACCAAGAAGTGTGGGCTTGGAAACAAGCATTGACTCTTAACATAGAGCCGGCCTCTGAGTTTTTTAGAAGCATCTCCTAGAAGGATTGAAAACAAGTCTCGATTCCATTGGAGCTGACCTCTGAGTTTCAATTGCCAACAAGTCTCGACTTTATTAGAGTCGACTTCTGAGTTTCAATTGCCGATGTGTGGATCTCCACGTGTGGACCACTAAAGGGGGGAGGTGGGTTCCACGTGAGGCGCACACCTAATGGATTGGGCATGTGATAATTATCAAGTTGGAGACATTATCAGTGTCGTTAGTGTTGGCACTCGAGCCCGCCATTCTAAAATTTCCAACGGTACATGGCTTCTTGAAATTATTCACATAAGTACATAAGAAAAACATGTTTAGATTCACAGATTGTATTTCTTTATCCCATTTGGATTGTATTTCTTATGAATCCCCGAACGAAAAACTAGGTTGGGAAGATTCTTGTTTCCAGTGTCAAGATATGAATCCCTGACCGCAAAAAGTCCTTCGAATTTAAACGTTCCATTTTCTGCTGCAGGTAGATAAAACTCCTTGTGTGCTTGTGTTTTTTTTTCCCCAAAACATTTTACCCAATATTCTTGAAATTATTAAAGAATAATAATGTAAAAAGTTGAAAAAAAAACTTTTACAAACAATAGCATTAGTGAGTTTTGTTATACCATCTCTAAAGGAAATGTCAAGTTATAAAAGACAAATTACAATTGATGGTTGATGTGACAATCTGAAGTCTTATGTCAAATTTTGTAATTCTTCAACCGAATTGTCAAATGTTATTTTATTATTTCAAATAGAGTTTTAAATGGTTGTAATTATTAAAAAAAAAATTTGTTGAAACAAAATTTCTATTGGATGAAATATTAGTGGAATAAGGGATCTATCACTAAAATGAATTAAAAATACATTTGACATTGATATCAATTTTAACTCTAAATAAAAAAAACTTCAAATTCAGTCAGCAAATAACATTTCAGTTAAAGAAATTTCTAATGTCAAATATATACAGTGACATTCTACTTAGAATTTTGACGGGCCCAATGGCTAACTTTTCAACTCGGACCAAAGAAAATTCAGCATGGCAAGGCCCAGGCCCTAGTGTTTTTATTTTAAGCAAAAAGAAAAAGAAGACGAAGAAAGCAAATGAGAAAAGTGGACCAAATGGTTGCCGGCTTGCCGCTCTCGCGTTGAGTCTGGACTTTGAAATCCCAGCAATTTCTGTATGTGGAAAACCCTCGGAGTTTCCGAAAATCCACTTCCAGTAGTTCTCCGTTGTCTGGGTCGGTAGGTGTTGGTAGGGTTTCTAAAATGGAAACCGTAGATTTTGTTGCAGACAAGATACGAGGTTTCACGAAATCGACCCAGGAGATGTTCGACAGCCTCGTTCATGGACGCCCTCGGCCTTCAGCTCGTCGACATCCGGTAGCTCCAAAATTTCTCTTTTATTTCTTTTTGTCACATGTATTTTCACGTCTTAATTCGTTTTGGTTTCTGCTTAATCAGGTTTAATTAGTTAATAACCAACCTTAAGCTAAGCTGATGGTAATTTGATTTGAAATACTAGAGCATCCATGAGTGAGAAATGTTCTGCTAGAAGTGCTTTTATTGGAGGAAATTCAAAATTCAATGTGCTTCTCCAGAATGCACGTCTAAGTGCTTCTATAACCCAGACGCCGTTTAAGTTTTTTCTGCCTGCCAAACACCGCTAAAAGCTCTTTTGGTTATATGAAAGCACTTTCGGCAATTTCACAAGCATTCCGAAACAAGTTTTTATTCAGATTATATAGATGAGTAATAAAGCAATAAGCTTTTGAACACTTATATGATATGGGATTTTCAGATTGAAATATTGAAGCGGTTGCAACGAGAAGCGTTTTCGGATTTGATGAGACTGAGGGATAGACAAGATAAGGTTGAGAGAATGGTTTCCTTGTATGGAACATCCAGGGGAAGTCCATTCCAAGAAGCCAGCACCCTTGTAAGGGGAGAGGTTGATCTCTTGGGGGCTTTCTTATTCGTGCTTAATAGTGAGGATGAGGCTGATCACAGCTCTGATGCTCTTACTCGAGCCGGAATGAGAACTGGGGTCGATTCAAAGTTTGCTTTTGAAACTACTGTTCGGGAGAATGATACGCTTGTTGCAGAATTTGTGGCCGGTCAAAAGCACAAGAGTAGTCTTTCTAATCTTTCAGAATGCCCACTTTCTCTAGCAAAAGTTTCCTATACGGCAAATGTTAGCAACTGGTTATCTGCGATTGCAATCCCAGTGGGAGCTCGGTGCAGGGATGTTGCGGTTCTTACTAGTCCATCTCACCAGGTATTACATGCTCGCATTGATGTCAATGGTTGCCTAGATTGTTTCCTGTATTCCTTTTCCTTTTCTTTCTGATAAGATATGTATGCATGAGTGCAAGTTGGACTGTTTTTCAGGTGCTTATTTGATAATATTAATGTCATGTCTCACAAGATAATAACTACCTAATGATTGTATCTGTTTGCTTGAAGAACATTTAACGCTGTAAATAATTTGCATTTTACTTTCTCGGTGTTTATCCTAGTCGGTGAATTTTTTTCGGTTCCTTAAGTTTGTTGGTAAGACTCGTAAGAGTGTTTATTTTGTGGCAATCATGCCTATAAATTTTGCATATTGTGTTGTATCAGTCTTGTTATGGTTTTTAGTAAATTGGAGATAATTTTATTTTCTCATGGCAGGGGAAGGGCCTTACTGATCTTTCATCATTTGGGCCACCTCTTCTAAATCAACACAATGGCAGTGCAATTGGTTTAATGGTGAAAAAATCAAATGTTGTTGCTTCATTGGCTCAGTTTGTTTCCGGACTGGCAACACAAGCAGGTTCAGGTAGAGTTGGGCGCTGCTTGAGCACTTTTGGGCAAATTGTCTATCAACTTCCCGGAGGAACAAAGCTCTCGCTTCTAGGTCTGCACCAAATACCTAAGTTATCTAGTGAACGTGGGGAGCATAGAATTGGAGTTCTTACGATTCCTTTAAGCAGTTTGGTGCGTCGCAAGCCCCCTGAGACAACAGTTGAGGGCAGTTTGACACAGCACACCTCCCCCGAGACAATGGTTGAAGCCTTTGCTCCACCCCTAGGAACAAACTCTGGGTCAACTGGATCTGTTGCTCTGATGTTGGAATCAGAAATTGATGAGTTCACAAAGCTTGGGGGTTGGATTGAGATGAAGCAGTCGAATCCCAAGCATTTAGAATGGGCTGTGACCGTTGCTGATGATTCGGAAGATTCAGTTGGATGGGGAATAGGTTTAAATGGGATACTTGCAGGTCCAAACTTATGGGACCGTTTTCAGGCTGAATCGTACTTCAAGTTTAACTTGGGTAAGAGGTTCAGTGTAAAGCCAGGGGTTGCATATATAAGGGATGGGAATGCGAAAATGACCGCCTTTATGCTGCGGTCAAACTGGTCTCTTTGATTGAGAAAACGATCAAGCTGCAGGTCCTTTGTTTAGCTCGCGGTTGAAGACGTGCAAATCTGTATGCCAGACACCGATCCTATGTCGTTAGTCTCGATCATAGTTATTATTTATGTGGAAGAGGGAAATTATGTTTTAGAGAACACCTGCATATGATGTTTCATTGACTAATCGAAGTGGCTCTATAGATGAAGCACTTGGGGCTAGACCTGTAAACGGGTCATCCGAACCCGATCCGTTAAGTTAACGGGTCATCCGTTTCACCCATTAACACCCGTTAACAATTATTATTATTATTATTATTTTTGTTTTTGTATATAGTATATTTTTTGTTGTTAAGACTTGACTGAAATTACTAAAACATTCTCAATTAATGGGTATAATGGGTTGACCCAAAGTGACCCGTTATTTAACAGGTTGTTAACGAGTTTATCCGTTAGTGACCCAACCTGTTAAGCATCCATCCAAATACTAATATTAACGGATTGAGTCTGGTTAACGGGTCGAGTCCAAAATAGCAGGTCTACTTGGGGCCGTTGATCATGTCAACATTTCATGAGACGTAGATCTTTGACCCTATGAATTTACTTGAAAAGCAGCAAACTTGTTGACTATCCTGAGTTTTGGCCTCTGTGACATTGGACTCGGTTTTGCTGACATTTTACCATCCAAACATTTGATTTGTTGAACCCAAATTAAACGTTGGATTTGAGCTAAAAACTCACATGACAATAATTATGTTGCACGTCATGTTTCAAAATAACGTCACATGCATGTCGTGAGTTATAAAGCTAAAATGACATGTTTATTTACGTGAAATGATAAGTAGAATTACTTCAATTTCGGACTTCGTTACTATCATTTGGATGCTAAAACTATTCTGATCATGAAATTTTATGGCATTGCCATCAAAATTTATATGGCTTTTTACTGCACGTGGAAGATAATTATACCTACACACCTCGACGTGAATCCAATTTTCACCAATTTTCTGTAACAAATAATTATCACTAACACTATCGCTATTAAAAAAAAAAAAAACATATTTGACTCTAATTCTTTCCTTTAAAAAAAATTTAAATAAAATCTTTCTTTGATTTTTTTTTAATTTTCTGAAAATTATTAAAATATTAACGGAGTGAGAAGTTAGTCGTCGGGCTTCTTATAATATTACTTTGTTTTGTTTCTTCTTCTCACCCGATATCATCTATCTCTCTCTTCTCTGGGTTTCTAGGGTTAAGGCAGCAACGAAACCATGTCGTCAGAGAGGAAGATAACTCTGAAGAGCTCGGACGGCGAGACGTTCGAGGTGGACGAGGCGGTGGCTTTGATGTCTCAGACGATAAAGCACATGGTGGAGGACGATTGTGCCGACAACGGGATCCCGCTGCCCAACGTCACCAGCAAGATCTTGGCGAAGGTCATCGAGTACTGCCGGAAGCATGTCGAGGCCGCTAAGCCCGAAGAACGCGCCTCCGTCGATGAAGACCTCAAGGCTTGGGACGCCGAATTCGTCAAGGTCGACCAGGCCACGCTCTTCGATCTCATCCTGGTCTGTTTCTGTTTTCCTCCGTTTTCGATTCTGCTCTTGCAATTCGATTAATTTACTGCTTAATTACCTTAGGGTTTCTAATTATCTGATTTCTGAGTCTTGACGTTTTTCGAAATTTTTAGGGGAATTAAACTCATGGGTTTGTTTGTCTAATTAGTTAATTTTTTTTCAATTATGATTTGTGCTTGTACGTTTACTAATCAGTAATTACTTGATGACCACTAGATTACAACGGGCCTGTTTGGCAGAAAAAAATTTATAAGTGCTTCTGGGTGATAGGAAGTGCTTTCTCCCAAGTGCTTCTGAAGCGCTTGGATTTAGAATAATTTTGACTTGTCTCTGGCAAAAGATCATATGAGTAGAAGTGCTTTCAAACGCGCCCAATGTTTCTTTGTACTAATATGTATTTCTCTATGCCTGTTGGTAATTAAACTACTTGGGAAAACATGTTATTGAGTTGTGTTTGTATAGGCTGCGAATTATTTGAACATAAAGAGCTTGCTGGACCTGACTTGCCAAACGGTGGCGGACATGATCAAGGGAAAAACACCCGAGGAGATTCGCAAGACGTTCAACATTAAGAACGACTTTACGCCCGAGGAAGAGGAGGAGGTCCGCAGGGAGAACCAATGGGCCTTCGAGTGAAGGGCCTGGGGATGAAGGAACCTGTTTTATGGTTTGTTGCTCTTTACAAGCTGTGGTTGTGGAATGCTGTTTGTATCTGTTATCTGAAACGTTTCGTGACTTAGTTTCTATCTGTTGTCTGAAACGTTTTGTGACTTAGTGAAGTACTTTATTTGTATGCAGACGACTGTTATTTTCTTCCACCGCACTTCTAGCTCTTCTATACTTGCAATCTATGATGTTATGTGGTTCTCTTTTGTTATGTTAATATATTAAAAACATGGTGCTTACTCTTTTTCCATTCTTGTCTTCTGAGTTGATTGATTGTTTAGGCAGAATGAATTTCCTAGTGAGTAGGTTATGATGATTAGGGAAGATGAATGAGTGATATAAAGATTGGCTTCTGTTGTAAGGCAGGGGCTTCCAGATTGACTATAGAGGTCAGCTTATGTTTTCATTAAAATCCGTTGGTTTAACAGATATTCGTGGGTTTTATTTATGTGATCAGCATTTGGAGTCATTTCATGACATGCCAATTTCTTGATTTCTTGTGGTGTTGAAGATTGCATTTGATTAGCAGGGCGGGGTTTTATATTTGCTCAGATGTTGTTTATTGCAGAGGCAACACATCGCTATGATAGTTACAACTTGACTTATTGAAGTACTTCCTGTCAGTTTTCATACATCTACGACAAATGGACTTCGGACTTTATACTTTGCGTTTGTCCATGTAACAGACCCAAACATATCTTCCTTGGGAGAGGAAGTTGTGGGAGAGAACACCACTTGGTAATTCAGCTTCTGGTTGTTCTTCGAAAAGTGCAGTTTATCAGGAATCACTTTCACAGTTAGACCGCTGGGTGCATCGACGGTAGCGGTGAAAATGATTTCTCCATCCCCTGCTACATTTGTAACCGTCCTGGTCACGTTCTTGCTCGCTTTTCCGTTAAAGTTGGAAATTGCTATTGAAGGGTAGTTGATATTTGATATGTAGTCAGCATTGGAATCCTTGGGGCAAGCAAATTCTTTGGGAGCAGTTTTTGAGATGGTTTTAATTTGTGATACGTTGTAGCCGTAGTAGCAGAGGTAGTTCAAGTAGTCGACGGTGCCAGTTTCATAAACCAGCCCTGGTTGTAACGGTCCTGTTGTTGTCACTTCTCCTGCGCCGTAGTCATATGGTGTGGCTGTAGAATTTTTATCTGTACTAATTGGGGCTCCCAGATTGTCTGTTTGAGATGCTGCAGAGAAAGAAAGTTGCATTTAAACTTCAGCTCGGAAGTATAAAATGTGCAATGAAACAAGAATCTCGACCTGTGGTGATGATCGCTGATCTGATCGCAGAGGGACTCCAGGCGGGGTTTTGAGCTTTGACTGTGGCGGCTATCCCGGAAACATGGGGACATGACATGGAAGTCCCCGAGAGGACGTTGTACAGCGGGGGATCCTTTCCTTCGAGAGCAACAGACGAATCATTGCCGATCCATGGTGCAAGAATGTTCACACCAGGTGCTGCAATATCAGGCTGCAAACAAGCTACATTAGGAAAATGGGTACTCTCTTGGGAAATTAGGAATCGGAGAGGAGAAGCCAGCTTGCTTGCCTTGAGAATGTTCCTTGTACCGGATGCAGGGCCTCTGGCTGAAAAATATACGACGGTGGGCGCTGGTTTATACTTCGTCACCGTCACTGTTGGTTGGACGGTTGTAACTGGGTTTCTTGACACGTAAGTAATCGATTAATTTTGAGAGGAATGTCCAATTGATGAAGCTAAATTTGGCTTGGTTTTAGAGTTAGGGTTACCTGGTTGAGTTGATATAGGATAGGATTTCTTGACCGTCCTTAAAACTGAGGACGGTTGCCGGAAATTCTCCGTATGTACTCGCGACTACCCCCGGATTTTCTACTTGAAAAATGACACCTACTCCGCCAAGACTCGTCACCGCGTCAATCTGGCTGCTCCTCCAATAATCACCGGAGTCACACAGCACAATCTTCCCCTTGATCTTTTCTGCTTCCATGGAATCTTCTTCGCAGTATCTGAAAAATGTACGTGAAGCTACGTGATCGGAGAAATACAGATATTCAATCAGACGATATTTTAGAGACGCAGCTGGAAATCGCGTTCCTACCTTGCACTATGTTCATTACCATCAGCTTTGCGGGCAGACAGAGCATATATCAACGGGTACACAGGCGATTTTTCGAGTTTTGAAAAATTTATGGCTCTCCCCTTGACCACCGTGCCGCCTCCCAACACCACATCAGACTCGAAATCTCGGTCAATGGTGGTGGCGCCAACTGTCAAAATCCAGGGTGCGGCGTTCACAACGGTTCCAGGGTCAGGGCCATCATTCCCGGCGGAGCAGACCACGGTAATCCCCTGCTCCACCGCATGGAACGCTCCGATCGCAATGGGGTCGTTGCTCAACTCCGGCTGAAACCCACTGGCTGAACCAAGCGAGAGGGATAGAACGTCCACCCCGTCCGCAATCGCGTCGTCAAAGGCAGCTAAAATGTCGGAGCCACGACAACCTCCTTCCGAGCATACCTTGTACATGGCGATCCTTGAACCCGGGGAGCCTCCTATGGCAGTCCCAGCTGCTACGCCGTAGTAGGACGCATCTGATACAGGGGTCCCTGCTGCTGTTCCGGCCACATGGCTGCCGTGTCCCACTGTATCCCTTGGGGAATCAATCTCTATTGTGCCATCAGATTCAGGAGTGCTATAAAACCTTGCTCCTATCAACTTCCTGATCGTTCATCATAAAATAACAAATTAAAATTGTTTAGTACCTATAATTTCACGAAAATATATCAATGTTCGTAACACATTTAAATCATGAGTTAATAAATTACCTATTACAGTTGGAGGAACTGAAATCATCTGATTTCATGCACGTACCCTTCCACCGTGACGGAATAGGACCCATATCTTGGTCATTGAAACTCTCCGACTCCGGCCATATACCTAGATTCAATTTATGATTTCGTTATTAATCCATTAGACTTATGAACCATAGTCAATTTATGTGCGTCTGAAACGTGCTAATTTTCTCTGTATTGTTCCAATTTTATCAAAAGGACAATCTCGATTTGTTACCTGTGTCCAAAATACCGATAATGGTGTCAGATCCATCAGCGGTAACTAATGAAACTCCGTCCGCGGCATCATAGTTGTTAGAGTTAAGATTTGAGTCGATTTTTAAAGCAGTTTGATACTTGAGGAAATCCCAGGAATGAGTAGTGTGGAGTTTCAATATGGGATCTAGAAAAACAGATACAACTCCAGGCTTTGAAGCAATGGATCGCGCCTCTTCGTCCGTGAGACGAGCCGCAAATCCTGAAAAACCATGCTTGTAAGTGTGCACCACTGCATTTGGTTTCCTGCACCCACAAAATATAACCCAATTACTATTCAGGCTACTCCACTCCAGGAGCAGTGCATATAAGTTCCTTTTTTGGATTTTACAAATTGCCCACAAAAAAGAATTGCCAGGAGTAACGCTTGAACCTATACCTTAGTTAGCGAAAAGAACGATCCTTATCAACTCAACTAACTATCCAACTTTAATCTATTTCTTCTTCCAATAAACATATGAAACCAAAATTTTAACGAAAATAGAGTAGGAAAGTTTAGGAAAGGGGGTGAATTAACTAGTTCCAACTTAACCTAATTAATTAACAGACACACAAGTTAATAATGTTAGTTCCATTCTAAAGAGGTAGGGGGTCATATTTTCATGTTCATGTTACGTATTACGTGTACATGGATAAATGAACAGCCTGATTATACAATATTCATACATATACTTGGAATTAATCGATTACCGACCTTGTTACGACAGAACTGAGGAGCTGAGCATGATCATCCCTTAGGGAAGAAATATCATCATCACTAGTTGTTGATGAGGCGGCTGCAGATCCCATATACACGATGTAAAGGCGGTCTCTCCGACTCCCTCTCCCGGCATTCTGATGATCATCAGCTGCTTTAGTTGGTCCATGAAACGAGATGATGATCAGGAGCAAGAGAAAAGTACCGGACGACATGAAAACGAAGATGTTTTTCATGCGCATTTTGATCTCTCTCTCTCTCTTGTTCTTGCACTTCACACTCTGCTATCCTAGCTATATATACACACACACACACACACAAACACATAGAGAGAAGATAAAAGGTGACAGGAGGATTACGTACTTAGGCGGTGAAGAGAAAGATCTTACTTGGGCTGCATATATGGGATCAGTAGGATATATCTCTATAACCTAGACTCTAAACCTACCCATATTAATTAAATTAGTGCGCTCTTATCTTGCTTGATTATCTAATCTGATTTCCATTAATTGACACATCGTACATCTGTAATTGGATATCTGGGTGGTGGAGGCTGGTACACAGTGGTGGTGGTAGTACCCCTAACCCTAATCAAAGAAATTTTCTAGACACCGGAAATATAAATTATATAGTGTATTATTTCAAGCGTTATAATAAATATGTAATTTGAAATGGTTTAGAGAGCACACCATTCGACTGTTATTAGCAATTTAAACATAAATTTTGGTAACAAGTTATGTGAAACAACAAACAACAACTGATCAACTGAACGATCCCATGTATATGAGCAAGGATAATTTCCTGCATAGTAGGATTGAAGAAATCTGGCATATATTTATCATATTTTGGTCGAATATTTTTATCATATTTATCAGTGGACTTGCTTAATCCTAGAATCCGTGCAGTGACTCACTCACACACACTAACTCTTTTGTAATGATATTTTGTGGGGTGGGGGTAACTTTAAGGCTAAAGTAATTCAAAAAATGTAAAAGTGCGTTTTGAACTGATTTGAGTGCTATATTTTACGGATTTGGATCCTCTTCTGAACCCAGCTTGCTGAGCTGAGCAATCACATGGGATTATAACTTTTAGAAAGGCCCCCTGTTTGTAGCCGTTAGATCAAAATTCAACGGCCAGTATGATTTGCTCAGGAGGCTCAAGAGGCTGAGCTCAGGAGAGGATCCAAATCCATATTTTACTATGAACTATTTTCCATGTGTCTTTCAGTCATTAGCTAAGAGCCCTATCAAGAGGGATGATGTATATGCCCGCGTCACAAACTTCATGAAGTTAAATCCCCTTTAAATATATGGTTTCACTATCAATTGCACTTACTTTTTGTAATACAACTCAACACATGTCGTTGAACTGTGCAGGTGGTGAAGTTGAGAAAATATTAGTGTAGTAGTGGAACACTCGACCGTGTCTAAAACTTTAACAAAGTCTTGATGATATTCCAAAAATAATAACATAATGTCATGTGAAAAGAGACTTACACATTACATTATATTATTGATCTAAAATATTGCAGTGATCTCGAAAGAGGGACATATAAATCTTTCTCTCTAAAAATACAAACAAAATTAGGAAAGGTGGGTTTGATTTGTTGCGCATGCATGAATAAACACACAATTAATATCACATTTGGTAATGCTCCTTTGTGCGTTTATGGTGCGTGGGAGATAAGCATGCATGTATAGTGGTTGTGGACTATACTTTATGCTATATTTACATCCCTGCACTGCAGCCTCAAGGCTCACCGATGACAAATACTAGAATAGTGCTCCACTACGTACTCCCACTGGCTACTTTTTCTTTATATTTTCTTCTTCGTTTTTCAATTGAAAATTTGTACCCTCCTCCGATTAAGAATTCCACTACCTCGTGCGAGCTAATAATAAAAAATAAAAATAAAAACTTTTAAGAACAAAGAGAGAGAAGCATGTTTGAGATTTTTGTTTTGAAACGACTAAAAACGTTTTCGGAAAACCAAAGTTTTTGTGGCTCCTATTGCTATAAAAAATGAAAATGTATTTCTGAATCATAACAGTGTTTTTTGAAGTGGTGCTTGTTAGGATGCTTTTCATGAAGCAATTTAAATGTTTCTAATGAAAATATTTTTAAGTGCTTAAGAAGGCGAAGCCTAAAGGTACAGCAAAATAGGGATAAAAGTGTTCAACTTCAACATCAAGATGATATCAAATTTAATTGATTTATGTATAAGATTTTATCTTAAAAGGTCACAGTTTAGTGAAATAAAAGTTTTTTTTTGTGTTGGTCGTAGACAAACACGACTTTCGTTTTTGTACGCACAATTCATCATCAACTTACCTTCTTCGCTTGAACTTATGTTTTCTCGTAATAGTGCAATTAGCTTCCTTAAATCTTAGTAAGAATTCCATTAAAGCAAAGTCAGTTTCCTTTAATCTAGCTTCCTTAAATCCCAGAGGTCAGCAGTGAAAAAACCTAAGTACCCAGTCAAAGTGGTAGACCTAAATTCTTACGAAGACATATCAACGGTCCCTAGTGAAAGATTGAAGATCTTTCCCTCTAAATATATTAACGGATTAAACTACTCATTAAAGCTCGAGAGAACACAACCCTTGATGATCCTACATCTGACAAAAAGTTTATCCCATTCACTTTCCAACAGTTCCTCGTCTGCTTGCGATCTTCCTTAAAAGCTAGCATGTTCGAGGATATACTTTGCAATGCAGACACAAATCCGCAAAGAAAGACAGACAACGGAAATGAAGTTCTCTCCTGATGCATCGTTATGCCGACACAGATCTCTAGGGCTCCCACGTTACAGTTTACAGCATTTTACAGCATTGTTGCAGCCATGTTACCATTTGATAGGTCGCATCTCCCTCGATCGCACAAGAATAATGCTACAAACACAATGCGATAAAGAAAATACTGACATATGAGAAGTTGAGCTTAACGGAACGTCTAGGAAGTTGGGGTTTTACTGTAAAATTAAATATGACGAATAGTCCAACTCAACATGCAAAGTCCTTAACTTTCTGGAATTGGAATTGCATTCTCAACAAAACGTTTAATTTCTTCCTATAAGCATAAGGTTAAGTTTAAGGTGGAGGCGAATGGAAGAGAAAAGAAAGGCATAGCATATATTTACATATAGGAGGGAGCGGGTCGCTATTTCATGCAGTTTGAGGCTGCCTCAACTGATCAAGAGGGAGCTGTTGAGGTTCAGAAGAGGGTTTGCCTTTTTTGTTAAATGTCCCACATCGGTGGGTTCAAAGAAACCCAATGGGTTTAAATAGAGTGGGACGGACCTGGCGATCTAAAAGTCCAACATTTTTTGGAAGCAGCTGCTGAACAAGGGTAGGGGATGCCAAGTAGGACTGCAACCAAGGAAAAACCAATCAGCCTATTTATTTATTTTTATACAAGCGACAATATTCTACGCTAAAAGGATCATCATCCTTGCTTGCTGTCTCTTGAGCCTGGCATTCTCCTCCCGCAGATGTGCAATTTCAAGTTCCTACTCATTTGTATAAGCCTGCATACAATTACCAAAAGTAGGCTACATATTCACAAAACAAACAAAACAGAAGTAGAAATGTAAGAGCACATGATCGGTAATGAAATACATGGACAGAAAGGTTCCTGCTTTCGGGCTATGGAGCGAGCAGCGGACTCTCGATTCTTGATCATGCGCTTATGCCGGCCGCCATTGGTGGAGTTGTGATGATCATGGTGATTTTGATCATGATCATCTAGAGCCCTTTTCTTGTAGCAAGGGAAGACTGAAGAGTGATTATCCAAACAATTAGGCCTAGTAGTAGTAACACTAGTTCCGGTGGGTTGAGTTTTGGGTTTGGCTTCAATGGACGAGGATCAGTGATCGTAGTCCTAGTGGTTTCAAGTAAATGCTGTTCAAGATCAGATCGAGTCCCGGAATTTAAGCTCAGAACAGTACTAGCGGCAGCGGGTTGTGGTGGGTCGATGTTGGAGGAAATAGTACTAGTACAAGCCAAGAAATCTTGAAAAATGATGCCTTGAAAAGCAGCGGCAGCAGGGTCGTCAGCGGCGGTGGTGGTCGTGTTGCAGGAGTTATGAGAAAGATACGATAGGCTGATGTCTGTCCAGACATCTTCCATGGACCTTCTGCTGCAGCTACTTGAGGTTGTGGGAACCATATTTTATAGAATCATTAATGGGGGTGACGGTGGATTAAGCCGGAAAGTTTAACGGCATTCGAGGGAGAGATTATATGTAGAGAAAGAAAGAATACTTGGGAACAAAAGAAATAAAGATGGACAAAAGTTGCATAAAGTTAAAAGAGTACAAAATTGTGAAAATTCAAGCAAATGGTCTAACCATCCTTCGGTGGAAAACAAACACGAGCGCACTGCAGCTCAAATCCACACCTCTACTATATAAGTGGTCTCTTGCGCACCAAAAAAATATTGCTTACATGCCCTTTAGCTATAACATCTCAAATTAAGCTCTTCTTTCGACGCGCCAAAAAATAAACCCGCAAACATTCACACCAAATCCAAACTATACAAACCAATGACCTCCAAATTCAGCCTTTGCTTGATCTCTTCATCTTCTTCTCTTTCTTCTCAATTGACGAATAATTATCGTTATTTCTTATTTGTTTCCTGTACTAGCCTCAAAAGCATTCCAAAACTATGCAAAGTAACAGATTTATAAAGAAAAGAATTCGCACGCCCTCAGTACAGGCTATACAGCTACCTCCCTTCCCCCGTTACCTTAGCAAACCCTTCAAAATTGGAACTGCAGTTTTTCTCCATGATTTTGCTTGAATCTTTTTTGTGGTACTCATCTACTTTGACTTCAATGATCAGTTTGAATAACATCTCCATTAGGAAGTTGTGCTTGGCTAGTTGACTCGGTTGAACAACTCTCTGGAATAGCCACAGAGTTTGGATCTGGCTTACCTCCCATGCTATTTTGGCTAGGTCCTTCCACGGTCATCTTTTCGAAAGAATTTGCAAGCATGTTGTCACTTAATACACTGGAGGATAGTGTGGATGGTGAACCTGACTCAGGTGTAAGCTGACCAGTAGTTGATATCCACTTCGTCCATTCATTACGCCTCCTCACTTTATCATCCTGCCGCAATCATAAGAGAGTATTAGACCAAAATAAAATATTGCAGCACAATTGCCATGGTTTCCTTTAAAAAATACTGGTTCCTAACGTAAGTCATTTCATTTGGTCGGCATTATAATGAGCCAAAAGGTCATCTTTTCCTTTTGGCAATAAAGCGGAAGATTACTCATTTCACAATCTAAAACATATATCGGAGTTCTTCAGTAGGACATGTTAATACAAATACAATGCTTAACAAAACAACAAATATAAAGAAATTCACCTGTACTTCAACAATACCGGAACCTCTTAAAGAATCAAGTATTAATTGGATATTGG